TACATACATATATATAGTGTTAAGGAAAACAGTAAGATTCAAGTAATTAAATCAAAAAGTACATAAACAACCAATCCATAAATGAAGAAATACAACAGTTTAAAAACTACTTAAAGACACTTAATTGCCAATCAGAGAAATCTAAAAAATAAAAAACAGGTATAAAACAAATTTCAAGGTTTTTTTTTTTTAAAAAATACCCATTTCTAGGGAAGGTGGAGTGAAATAAACACTCTCATTCATTACTAATCAAATTATAAATTGGAACAACCATGTAAGATTCAATGCATGTATATGTAAAGAATCCTAAGTTGTTCATGTTTTCTGACCTAGAAATTCCACATTTGGAAATCACATAAGGAAACTATCACAATACAGAGAAAATTTTATATATGGAAATATTAATCATGGTAGAATTTATAATTTAAAAAATGGGGTCAGATATTATGACTCTTGCCTGTAATCCCAACACTTGGAAGTCTGAGGCAAGAACGTCACAAGTTTAAGGCCAGATTGGGCTACACAGCAAGTCTCAGGGCAGCCTGAACTGCAGAACAAGATCCTGTCTCCAAGGAAAAAAAAAATGGAATGATTTAAATGTCAAAAACTGGGTAACTGGCTAAGAAAAATACGGTATATTCACTAGCTGTATGGACCATCATGTATCCATTATATGTAATGTTTTAAAATCATTGTAAGAACATTATATATGAGTGGGTTTTTTCATGCTAAGTGTGATATGTGGTAGAATACACATATATGGTTATAAAGCAATGCATTTTACTAAAACACATATATGGTTATAAAGCAATGCACTTTACTAAAAGATTGAAGAAAATTTTAAAAACACATATATGGTTATAAAGCAATAACACATAAAAACACATATATGGTTATAAAGGAATGCATTTTACTAAAAGATTGAAGAAAATTTACATAATTTTCAATAATAGTTGTCTTTAGGTCATAAGACTGTTTATAATTTTCCCACTGTTCCCTAGTCTATGTTTTTCAAATTTTCTGTCATAAGTATGTATAATGAACCATGTGAATAGACTTCTTCAAAAATCTATATCTCTTTAGGGAAAATAATTAGAAGAAAAATATTACTTTAAATGAAGGTGAGCGATAGTATAAACAGAACATTTCTCTTGTGCTTTATGAGACTCTGTTCTTTAAAACTGAACAGAAAAAAAGGTGATATGAGACAGCCAAGATTGGGGATTCAGAAGCAGACAAAGAGGCAAGCATTGTTTAAAAGTGCAGCTTAAAATCTAGTTTGAAATGTATATGGAATGTGCTATCTCCACAATAAAACTAGAGAAACTAATTCTCAACCAAACCTTCTTGGTTAATGGGTATAAACAAAAAATAGAAAGAGAAACCATTCTGAATGCATGTTTGTTAGCTATACCTTATTATTCATGCCTATATAGCACCATTTATGTTGATATTTCTACTGTATGTCATAAGCATAAGTGTTTTGGTTTAAAATGAGTACACTGTCATTCTAAAATAAGATTTCACTTTGTAACTACAGTGTAGTACCAAAAAGAGGGAATGAAATGTTTATCAAAAGGGATACTCAAATCTAAAAGGCTGAGAGACTCTGATAAAAGAAAATGTATCCTTGGGTCTCCCTCTCCAACAGTCTGGCTATCACCCTAAATTCCCATAAGACATTGAAGCCTCGGTGTACCATTCAAAAGCCACAATAAGGGAACTCTCAGCTTACTTGCTTCTTCTCCGCTACTTTCTGAGGAGATTTTCAAAGAGAACTAAGAGTCACAAAAACTGCATTTATGCAAGATTCACTTTGGTTAGAAACAAATGTTTGAGAATTTCCAACCTGCCTAAATTAATTTCACATGCGGCTCTGGCTTACTTGGCTAAAAAGCTAAAGGTCTTCTCACTTTCATATTTCACTTACGGCTATCTTTTGCAGATGGCAAAATGTGAATTACTATTTCTGTTTTATAAATATGGATACGGAGGCCTAGAGAATTTGAGTGGCTTCCCCAGAATATACACACTGTTTCCTAATATCAGCCCAAGTCTCTTTACAGTTAAAAAAAAAAAAGATTTTGCCTTCACAGCTCATTCATTTAATTCAAAAATATTTCCTCAGGGCCTATAACGCACCTAGCTATGTTCCTGGTACCACAGACAATGTCTCTGCCCTCATGGAGACTAAACGTTTGCAGGAAAGCTCTGCAGTGTGCAAGTACGCAGACAAATATCAGAGCACTTCACTCTTTGAACAAAAGTAGTGTGGCTGCAACAAGGAGAGGGTGCTTATTCTACGTAGGGTGACCAAGGAAATCCTCTGTGAGGGAAGAGCCAGTGGAACAAACATGTGAATCACATGTATGTTTGGCAGAGGAGTGGTAAGTGCAAAAACCCTAAGTGAGGAGCATGCTTGGTGAGCTTGCAAAAGTTCCAGGTGATCAGTGAGGCGGAAGTATTCAGTGTATCTTACCATATATTGTCTTCTTCCAGCTCCAATGGTCATGCTTCCTTTGAACCCTAAATTTTGCATTTAGGTCAATGATTACATTCCTCCTCTGTCAGGTTCCCTATAAAGCAGCCTACTTTACCCACCAGTCATTCCTCCATCTTCTATTGATAAGAATACCTAAGAATCCAAGTTGGCTTTCATTGTCCTTCCCAGGGTTCAACTCAGGAAAAACAAACACATAAGCACAACATAAGACCAGGGCCCAAGAGATCAACAGCATCCACATACCTACCTTGAATCCTTTAAGATAAATATATTTAGCATGACCTAAGAATTGCCACAAACAAGGTTTGACCATTTTAGAAAATCAATATACAATGAAAATCCTCTAACATCATCCTCAGTACAGTACAATCTCTCTAGTTGGCCCAGTAAGTGCTTGAAAATCTCAGTGTGTCATCAGGTACTGAACTCACTACCAAGCATTTTCCTTTGTTTTGTTTCCATCTAGAAACTACTGTGCAGGACTGGTTATTTTCATTTGTGCTTTGTTCCTGCTGACAACAATGTTTGAGCGAGGTCTTTCCTTAGAAATGGCCCTTAGAGGGGCTGGGGATCTAGCTCAGCGGCACAGCACCTGCCTGGCAAGTGCAACGTCGTGAGTTCGATTCCCGGTACTGGATAAACAAAACAAAAAACAAAAAAAAACAAGAAATGGCCCTTGGAGCACTAAAAGAAGTCAACATAAAAGACTCTAATAATAATACCAACAGTTTACAATTACTTAACATTTACTATACCTCAAATCCAGTGCTCAATTTTACATATATTATGGCATTTACTCCTCAAAATTCTATAACACTGATCAAATATGATACTCATTTAATAAATGAGAAAAGTGAAGGACTAAGTTAATTTGCTGAGGCTACAAGCCCCACATCTCACTAACATCTGACTAGGTCTCAGATCTGCCTGCCTCTGAAGCCCGGCAGCAAACGTGCAGGTGCATCTGATTAAAAAAGGGCGATATGCTGAGATATGCCTAGACAAAAGAGCAAAGCTGAATCATAACAAGGGTGTTTTCCCTCTCTGCTCTTTACAACTGTTGAATAGTCCTAGCTTTTATAGAAAAGGGTCCTATTTCTGAAACCTCCAGTCCCCCACACAACCTCTTGAAACTAAATAAGCAGATCCAGAGAGATAGTTTTACTCACACACACATCCTCCCTCTCAGCATTCTGACCAGAATGGTATTGCATTCTTAAAGTAATGGACCCCGTTTCCTAGTCTGCCGGCCTGTTCTCACTGAATTTGATGCACTTCCTTTGGGATGATATTTCCAAACCCGTTTATAGAAAATAGAGAGAAACCTTTCCTTCCCTGGGGAACTAAGGGTCTCAAGTCTGAAGAGTCGGCCATTCCAGGGCTCCACCTTCCTTGTCTCTACCAAACAGAAGTCTGGAGCCCAGAGTTCACTCAGATCAGTTCCAGGCCATGTTTTCCCAACCCAAAAGACGTTCAGTGCAGCTGCCACAAAAGACCTTGATGAGGCCCTTCTAGCGAGCAGAAGGCTCTGGGGATAAAACCCCATTGAGGGACCTAAGCCAAAACATGTTCCACCACAGCCTTGGGCTGAACCTGACGAAGCTTTGGGGCCACAGGGCAGTCCGTGGAGTAGGCTCCAGGAAGCTCAGCCTTGACTGTGACTACCACACGCGCCCTTGACAGGCTCAGGCCTGCCATGCAGCCAGTCGGCTACCACCGCCATGTACTCACAGCACACACAGGCAGTACACGCCCGGAACACTCTCGCTGTCCCTCAGCAAATAGCTGCCGTCCAACCCTGTGGCGAGCAGGAGCTTCTCTCCAGTCTCTCTGCTGATTTTACCATGGTACACAGCTACTGTATCCATGGCCTGGTGGATTCCAGTGGCTGAGGTGAGGGATTATAGAAGGGAGATGCCACCACTGCGGCTGCCTCTGCCAGGAACCAGTCAACCACCTGACTCCAGTTCAGCCAGATGTGCAAAATGAGACAAGCACCCAAACAACAGGATGTTGTCTACCTGCTTTAAAACCTCCCTCTCAAACTTCAATTAAAAGCAGCTCAGCAATTTAACAGCTGGATTCTATCGAACTTGTCATGGAGTTTGATCCAGCTCTCTGACACGGGATTCTTACAGACAGGGGAGAAACACTGGATGAAAGACCCTGCAAGCTTTGGGTTGCACTGCCAATGTAAACCTTCCATACAGACCAGAGTGCTTGCTTGGTAACGCTTTAGTCCTTGCATTTTTTCCCCCAGAGCCACCAGAGATGACTTAGCTTAACGAGTTTCCAAAGGGGTTGACAATAGGGGTATGTCACCGTGTGTGCAAGAAATGAACTGACAAAATGAAAAGACCAAAAGTTCTAAGATCAAAACACTCAAAGTATCAGTACAAAATCACTAATGAACATGGCCATGAGGCTTCTGTACAATCAGAATAGGAAAACAATGAATTGGGGGCAAGTTCTTCCTTTCCTTCACTCTCCTCCTACCTCACATGGTCATGCCGAACAATGTGTGTGTGTGTGTGTGTGTGTGTGTGTGTGTGTGTGTGTGTTGCTAGGGATGGAATTTAGGGTATTTCATATGCTAGGCAAGTGCTCTACTACTGAGCTATAGATCAGTATTGCTTGAACAGTCTTGATCTTGAGCAAATACTAATTTTTTTCTAACACTTTCTTGAAGATCCCAAAGTACTGGTTGAGGTACGAAAATCACAATAAATGTCCAAAGATGTTCCAGATTTACCTCTTCGGTAGTCCTTAGCTGAAAGACCAAATGATTTAATTGGTGTTTTATCTTTATGTGAATTTGTACGTGTTCTTTGACATATAGAACTCAGCTTTTAGCATTTTGACTATAAAATCTGTTTCAAATCATTTTTCAAGTGTGGATAATTATGTTCTAATTTTTATTCTCTGTTGTTTCTAGAGAATATTTCTTGTACAGTTAATGCTAAGCTTTCATTAATTTCAAAAGAAATCTTTCAACCTGCATTTCATTTTCTGAAACAAAGTGTTATATCTATCTCAAAAAATGCTACATAATACTTCTCCCAGACTTCCTCCATTCTCACTAAAATAGAATTTTTAGTGCCTGAAGCTTAATGACCTCATGTGCCTTTAGCTTATGCAAAATACTTTATAAATTAAAGTTTAAATAGTTAAGTCTATGTTGCCTATTTTATTTTTTCCACAGCTTCAGTGCCTAGTTTCCTGAGACTATAACAAGGCTGGTATCTCAATAGGGAGAATAATATTAAATCCTCAGTGAGTCAGATGGACATAGCCACTTTGCACGAAAGGCAGACATTTACCCTCCATTTACTGTGATTAAGAACAATCATCTATGATTTTTGTGGTAGCCAGTAACAATTCTCCTACTTTGAAGAGTGCCCAACTTTAGTGGCCAAAGGGTAAACAAAAACCTCCTACAGCTATTTTCAACACTAAGAATAATTTTAAAAAAAAAAAAAAAAAGAGCATTCACAGTGACATTTGAAGATGGCTCTGAGGATTGGGCCAAGATTTTCTCATCATCGTTCCATTTCACCTGTGTTTGACCAACTCCCTCTCACCATTTTTCATGATTTGGGTCAAAGAAGAAATTGATCTGATACACAAGCTCCAATATTAAGGGCTTGAGATGCTAAGCCACTCTGGGTGCTATGTTTCAAGCAAGTAGTGCTTAGCCCAGTGAAGTTAATCATAATGCTGACGCTTTACATATCCACTGAGAAAGCAGGGAAGAGGATCTGCTTGTATCAGTCTATATAGACAACATCCCACTTGTCAGTTGAATTGTGAGAGCTTCCAATGTTGTATAGGTTAAATAAAAACTAACGTTTTTTGTCTCTGAACAACTCTGAACAAATGATCCACAAACTTAGGAACATAGAAACTTGGATCTGACAGCATGAGTGTACTGTGCATCCTTTTCTTTCTCTGTTTTGTTCGTTCCTAAAATAGTACACCTGTCAAAGCATCCAGGTACAGTGGGGTTCGGCACAACTAAAATGTATAAAAAAGGAACAGATAAATTATAAGGTAATAGTACAACTCTCACATCCAGTACCTCATTGTCATTTCACAAGTAAGCTGACAGCTGAACCAGCCCACTAGTGCAGTGTTGATGAAAAATACTGACATCTTCACTCGAGTGCTGCACCAGTACTAAATCTGACTTTAGCAAATTCAAAACTTCATGCTGAGCTTGAAGTATAGAAACAGGCATTGAAACGGCTCTATTTAGTAATGTTAATCCCTTCAGCAACAACACTTTCTTTGGCTTCAGCTTTACAGTTTTATCTGTCCAAACTGAACGTTTTTCAAATCTTTGTATTATGCTCTTTTCCCATCCTTCTCACTATAACTATGGCTTAAAACAACCAGTATACCATACCACTTCCTGAGTACTGTACTCCTTTACAATTTTCTTCACCAGACAAACTAGGACATTGCTTTTAAATTCGGGCTCTTGTAAAATCTCAGGGTGTGGACAAAATGTAGATAAATTCTTTGCCAGATTGTAACATGAATGACCTCTAATTAAATTCCTAATGGAGTCCTCATTTCTATCTGAAACCTGACGAACATGGTCTTTAATGTCTGCATTCCTATTAGCAATCTGGTCTTTAAAGCTCTCAAGAGAATTACCCGTCAAGTTTTGCTTACAACATTCTAGGATTCTTTAGTATGCATCATCAAACCTTTCGAAACTTCTCCCACAAACTAATTCAATGGCATTGTCTGAACTATCCTGTCAGGCATAGTCCCAGCAATAGCTCCACTTCTCAGTACCAATTTTTTATTGGCTTCCCATCACTGTGACAGAATTCCTGAGAAAATCACCTTAAATATGGAAAGATTTATTTGGGCTCACACTCTGAGATTCCAGTTTATGGTTACTTGATTGAAACTCCATTGTTTTGGACCTGAGACAAGGCCAAACATCATGGGAGAGAGCACCATAGGGAAAAGAGGATGAGAGAGACAGACAGACAGACACACAGACACATAGACAGACACACACATAGTCCAGGAACAAAATATCCTTTTCAAATGCATGTCCCCAGTGACACACTTTTTCTAACTAGGCTCAACTTTTGAAAGTTTCTGCCACCTCCAAATAGCAGCATTCACTGGGAAACAAGTCTTCAACATAGGAGCTTTTGGGAGACATTCCGGTTCCATATTATAACATCTTTCTTCTCAAATGTTCTTCAGTGTCTAGCACATAATAGATGTTAAATACGTTTTTGAGTGAATGAATGGAATTAACACTCTCAAGAAAATAAATGTAACAAGCACACACACAAATATTGTGTATTGGTTCTACGTGCCTGCCCCTGGCCCTCCTTTGAAACAGCAAGATGAATTGGAAGGAGCAGTAGTTATGAGATTACACTCTGTTTGCCACTACATCCTTTCCTGTCTCTGAGGCTTATATTCTCCATCTGTCAAGTGGGGATGAACAGATAACCCCTAAGGTCCGTCTAGCCTCAACTCAACTTTCTGTGCTGTAAGCCAAAGGTGTTTCTTTGCAGAGAAATAGAGGGGAAATGCACTGAACTCATCTGTGTGCAAGAAGCAAGATATATTTCCTGAAGTCTCAATCAACTGGGGAAAGATTTTTGCTCTTATTGTTTTAATAAAAATCAAGAGGGTGGAGGAGGAGAATTTCACAGTTTAAAGAACACTACAACATTTTAGAATATAGATGTCACTTAAACCGAATGTAAAAGCATTGAAAGTTAGAAAAACTGTCAGCCAAAGTTGAAAGTGTCTTCTAATCTAAACTTGTTACTTCCTGAGGTCTCTGAGAGATGGCAGAGTTTTGTGTATGAATGCCCTGTCTGAGGTGTTAATTGTCTTCATTTCAAATGCCCGAGGCCATTCTCAAACCCAGGTAGATCAAAAGAATGATGCCAAGGGTGGTCAGCTTTATAGAGTGGATCTGACATTTTAAAATCTTTTTCTCTGATGTTTCAAAACTAACTTTTTTCTTTCACTAGCTTATCTATAGGTGTGAATTCTCCTGGGACCGTGTTATGATACTGTCACCTATGATGAGTTTACATTCTCTCAGCACTTATTAAAATTCATTTCCTTTACAAAAATGAGGGGGAAAAGTTAAATGTCTTCTTTAAAAATAAGAGCACCTCCTTTTGTTAGTATCTGGGTTTGGCTATGAGGGTATTTTTTTTCTAAATGCCCTGTTGTAAGTTAGAAGCTAGAGACGGAGTTGTTGTGTATATTTATCTCACACTGTTTTAAAAATATTTATTCTTTCAACCATTTATTATAATTCACTACATGCTAGATTCTACAGTAGGTGCTTAGGTTAGAGAGAAGAAAAATACGGTGCCTGCCCTCAAGTGGTTCGCAGTCTAGTGAAGAAGACAAAAACAAGCATATACACAATTACAATTCACTTAGGAGCCATGATAGAAGAAAGGATGGGGCTCCTGGGGCACTGCAGTGGTACATCTAACTCAACTTATATTCTGTACCTGCATAATCTATTCAAGGTAGTAAGTTCTTTGTCTTTTTATCTGCTATGGATAATTTTTACTGGTCCCAATTTTAAATGCTGCATGACTCAAAGGATGTCCCTAATTGTAGGTGAAGCCCTGCCTGCTTCTGACATTTTATTCTTAGAATAATTAACAGCTTTATGTGTTAAGTACAAACTATATTCCAGGAATTCTGCTAAGCGCTTTGAATGTATTATTTATTTTAACAACCCTATGAAACAAATACTATTACGAACCCCATTTTTCCAACAAGGAAACCAAAACATGGAAAACCTAGTAGCTTGCTGATGGCAGCAAAACTGGTAACGGGACTGTGTTCAGGCCCAGGATTTGAACACATGCCCCTCATTGCAGGGCCTGTGAATTTCACCCCCAAACTCTTTTTCCTTTCAATATTAATCATGAGCTCATCACTGAACTACTTGGGT